TCATGTTTGTTTTATTAAAGATGTATGATTAATTGTATTTAAAATATACAATAAAAAAATTGCATGGAAACCAAGACCGCACCACTATGTCAATCAAGCTATCAAGCTGTTATGTTTGCACATGATTTAAAATTCTTTTTGTGCTAATTTAGGGTCCCATCTTTCTTTGCTTATATATAATCTATTGATTCTCTCTTTACTGGTCAAATGATGCCAAATTGGGTAATGGGGTATTCAGCAAATATCAGAATCTGATTATTCTTTAAAAAGATAATCAAGGTATTGGCATACTGATAAGTTAATAATATTCTTATCATATTGTCTAAAAGCCTACTAGTAAATGTTGATATTCTTTTAAAATTAATACTATTTTTTAGTTAATTTAATAAACCAATAACTCTTTTATATTGTAATTAAATTATTGGTTAAATATTTCTAAAGCTCTTTGTGCTAATATAATATCATAATTTTGAGCAGCAGTTAGGTTTCTATTCAAATAAAGTTTACTGAATAAAACAAACAATTTGAGTAAAAAAATAATTTGAGATAAAACGAATAAAATGAATAAAACAAATAAAACAAATAAAACAAATAAAACAAATAAAATGAATAAAAATGTATAAAACGAATAAAAATGTATAAAATGAATAAAAATGTATAAAATGAATAAAAATGTATAAAACAAATAAAACGAATAAAAGTGTATAAAACGAATAAAAATGTATAAAATGAATAAAACAAATAAAAATGAATAAAACAAATAAGCATACAGTCAGAACTCGTTAAAACAATGCTTTGATAAACTGAATATACATGATAAGCTGATGTAATGCTCCTAAACAGTAACAATAAATCAAAAATCCAAATGGAAAACATAACAATAACACCATTGGAACCCAATGACACAATAAGATATTTGGGAGTATACTTCAATGGAAAAGGTAGCAGTTCATCAAACAAAGAAAAAATCTTAAACAAAATGAAACTTTTTCATGGCACAATCATTAGAAAGAGAATAAACCACATCCAAACTGCAGACATATTTCAAGTAGTAATAAGACCACATATAGAATATCTATTACAGAATATCACATTAGACAGCTTATTAATCAAAAATTTCAACACACTAATAAAAAAAATAATCAAAATCAAAGCTAGAGTTAATAACAAAACACAAAATCTCACATTAATTAACATAATAAACAACTACATTTCGGGAATCCAAGAAATATACATTATTGCAAATAGCAACCTGTTACATAGATTAAGGAAAATAAACAATAAAACACTCAACAAAACTATTCAAATTTGTTTAAAAGATTGAAACATCAAGCCTGGGTTCCACTCAATAAATCAAAATGAATACTCAAAATTCATTAAAGAAACCAAGAACAATTGGATTGCACATAACCTAGTAATATTAGACACATACAATATCAAACTAAATAAAGAAATCTTTTCATTAGTAATATCACAGATATCAGGAGCATATTCACTACAACAGAATCTTTAAAATTCAAAAACAGTATCAAAAAACATAACATCATTTTCCTTAAACAAATACTCAATCACAACAATTCAGATATAATCAAATGGCAAAACCTTTATATCAAAACCTTCAAATCACACAAGGGAAAAAAACCTATCTGGTATGATGTGGCTAAAAAAAGTTTCAAACAACTCAAAGAATGGAACTTAATAATACTTCCTGATACAAATAGTATCCTGCCTAAACTAAGCCCAATAGATAATAATAATGACTATAATAATCAACCAGTCATATTTAGAAACAAACAAGATGAAATCACTTTTGGTGTGATAGTCACACATAACAGAAATTCTAGCTTCATCACAAATACACCTATACAATCAATTTCTAACATTTCAATCATAACAAAACCCACAGAAACATACACAAATATAAAATCATCCAATGTATACGATCCAATTGATATTAAAACATCAAAATCACAAGATGAAATCACATGGCATACAAATCTGGATGAACTCTCCATTCTGATACCTTTCTCCTCTCCAACTACAACACAAAACACTGGCAATACAACAATAAACACCAATAAACTAACATTAGATGAAGAACTACTATATAACTACCTAAGTGAAACCAAATCAATATCAAAATCAATATTAAACAACCAATCTGTAATAAACACCAATCCAATAGTCATACATTGTGATGGTTCATATAAAAAACATAACTCCTCAAATACAACAATGGACATAGGCTGGTTCATTGGAAATGTCACAGACATGGTCATTTATAGTACTGAGATTATGAACCAGAGGAAAACAGCAATCAATGCTGAATTATTAAGTGTATTCCACATAATGTTGGCAATACCATCAAAAAAAAAATAATAATATTTAATGACAATGTCAACATAATAAACAATCTTAACAATATAAACAACATTAGTTGTAAAAATGACTATATAAACACATGGGACTCTCTCAACCAAATAATTAAAAAAAACATTTAAAAATAATGGCTAAATACATGCCTGGTTATAAAAAAAATAATCAAAACTACAACAATAAAATCACAGACTTTCTAGCCAAAAAAAAAACATACTCAACAACAAAATCCAAATACACCTCAAAGAAATTTCAGGCATATCTTGGAAAAACCAAATCATCTCATCTGAGCCACATAAATTTATCAAAAAACTAACCCTCATCAATAATTTCCACTTCTGGAAAGAAAAAATCAATCCTCCTTTTTCAAAAGATGACTTGATATGGTTATGGCAACAAAAAAACAAAAAAGATCACATAAAAAAAAGTAAAAGTGAATCTTTTGCTATAAAAATTCTATGTAATAACATTTCAAACAATACCACCCTACATAAAATCAAAAGCAATATCTACAAAGACAATAAATGTAAAAGATGTTCAATTGAACAAGAAGACACAATACATCTCATCAACTGCAACTCTAATACAAGAAACACTCTTTCAAAATTAATTCATCAATCAAACGAAATAATATCAATATTTGAAATCAAATCAAATATTCAATCAACCCAACAACCACAATTATCCAATTGGGAACTTTCAACTGCTCTACCACACTTTACAACAAATTCAACAACATCTTAAACAATAAAACCCACAACTTCATCTCAAAACTTACATCATCATGCAATTTATTTATTAGAGATGCATGGAAAGCTCATAACCAATGCCAATTGGAATGGGAAAAAATCAACAGTATAACCAATAAAATAAAAAGAAAGAAAGGGAAAAAAAAAACTAAACAAAAAAATACTAACAACAACACCAAAAACAATAAAAATAAAAATAATAACAAAAACAAAAATAGCAACAAAACACAAATATTCCACCAAAAAACTAGAAGTCAGAGATATACTTGCCGCCCATACTAAGGGATATGGGACAATCCCCAATCCCATTGGGTATGGGTGGGTGGGGCTTTGATGTTAGTAAAATCCCCACCCATATCCCATCCCACACCCCATATCCCATATCCCAACCCATACCCCATATCCCATATCCCATCTCGAATTAACCAATCATATTTTTGTCATACAATTAAATAATAATTCAAATTGAAGAAATTTCAGTTGAAGAACTTGATGAAACATTTAACCGAATTGCTTTATCAATTACCAATGGAAATGATCTTTTTGGACAAGATGATAATCTTGAAGATGTTAGTCATCTTGATGATAATTGTGATGAAGAGGTTATAAATTTGGATGGTGTTAATGATAGCCATTTAATTATTACTGAAAGCATTGATTTGAATTCAAGTTTATTGTCTAATAATAATATTTTATCAAATGAAATTTATGAAGAAAATGATATTGATCATGAAGATACAAATTTTGACATTGATGAATTGTTAGATAATCATAATTTTGATTAATGATTGTTTTCTGTTGTAATTACAGAATTATTTCTCTTTTTAATTGTTTTTATGGTTTTAATAATTTTTATAAATGATAAAATTTTTTTATTAATAAATATACATATATTTTGTTAATTCTATCAATGGGATATGGGGTTGGTTGGGATTGGTTGGGATTGGGTTGGGATTGGATGGGATGGAATTTTAAGGATTTGAGTATGGGTGGCAAGTATAGTCAGAGAATAATTCGTTGCAGCCAGATTATTTTTTTTAGACTTACTAGCAAAAGTTACAATGGTTTAAAATTTCACTATTTTGTAAAAAATATATATATAATTTCAAAATTTGCTGCTGTTCAAAATGCCAAAATACACAAAAAAAATGAAATCACTTCTTTCAAACTTACAAAAAGCTAATGAAGCTCGTCATTCAAAAGCTTCTAAACTTAGGTTTTTTTTAATCTACAATGAACAGATTATTTTTTATTCAAAATTCCACCCAGAATTTAATCATATTGAAATGTTTTGGGGTGCAGCAAAAAAGTTTACCTGTGAAAATTGTGAGTATACTTTAAGTTCATTAAAAACTAATTGTCCACTGTACATATGTTTGTATGTGAAATTCGAATTGATTTATTATGATAATTTTACTAAATTTTATTGGCTAAAATTTGTGCACGTGATAAATTCTAAAAATTTGCCGCACCCCTTCTATCACTTGATGGCTTTTAATGTCGTCCACTGTATTAATTGACGATCCCAGTGAGTGTTATATAGTGATCGGCGGGGGAAAATTGACCAAAAAAACACTAATCGGTAACCTTTATAAAAAAAAGTTACTATACTTTTGTCTTGCAAGATAAATTTTTTTGTGCATACAAATAGAATAAATCTCAGAGAACATATTTATGTATTTTTTATTGCTATTAATTATGTAAAGAAAAAAGTTTTCTGTTTATGATACGTTGATTTTTTGAGTTTTTGTATTGAAAAAATTGATGTTTCCGTGTAACATTTATTAATTTTTATAAATGAAGAAAATGCTTTTAGACGTTCTAATAAAAAAATAAAAGTGATACGAAATGTTTGAAATGTTTATGACTATTTGAAATGTTTAAAACTATTCGAAATTCCATCCATTACCAAAAGTCATAATTCTTTTTGATATTTGATTATTCAAAAAGCGGGTTAATGAACAGAAATACTATTTGTATTGATAAATAAAAGACTTTGCTCTTGAAGGTAAGCATTATTTTTTTGGTTAAATGCAAGGTTTTGATATTCATTATCAAAAGTTTGAAAAGCAGAGGAAAAACGAAAACAAATGAATTAATAAATTCCATTTTTTTTCTTTGTTTATTTAGACAAAGGAATGGTTTTTTGCTTATTATAATTCTCGGGTGTTGATTATTGCATAAATTTTGTTTGTTAATTTAACCATAAAAGTAAAATTAGTAATTTTTTTATATGTTTATAGAATAATATTGCCTTTATTAAACAGGTCTTGTTGGGTAGTGTATTCGCATGGTTGTTAGCAAACAATCTAGTAACATGCTCCTGGTTGGGAGATTGAATACAATGGAAGACAAGTCCTATTATTATTTTTGAGTTTATTATTAAATAAAAAAACTATGAATGCAATAATTAATATATACTATAGTTTTTTTTTTTTATTTTTTACTCGAAATATGAAATTTCCCCCGCATTTTTATTGGCATCAATTAAGAATGTAAAATATTACTATTACTATTTTAATAATTAATTTCCGCTTTTATTCTTTGCTAAATTACTATTACTATGTTGTTACAAACTATCGAAAAAGCGGACAAGGGTTTTAAAAAAAGTAGTAATTAGAAATAAATTGTAATAATCAGCAATACATCCACAATTTAATCTAACATATTTCTAGCTATTTCTTGACAATGACACTATCAATATGTCGATTCTTTATATGCTAAAATCGTAAATATTGTAAAAGGACAAAGTGAAGCTGATAACAATGAAACAAATGAAACAAATGAACCTGAGATGATGACCATTAATATGGAAGCAATAAAGGCTCCGGAAACTACACTTAAATATGTAAAGCAAAAAATTTTAGATATTGATTTTCAAGTAATTAGAAATGTCAAAAGAATAAAAAGTGAAATTTCTTACAAAAATTCTCAAGAACAAGCGCAAACAAGAATGGAAGATTATCATAATGTCAACGTTTTAAGTGAATGAATTGTTTTTTTTTTTTTAATTTTTACCAACTGTATTTTTATTATTATCATTATTATTTGCATTCATATTATTAAAAATAAAAATTTTTAACGTAACATGTATCACATGATTTAATCAAAAATTCGATGTCTCGGTATTACGGATGGCGGATAAATTTCCTGGAACAAACATATCCGTTATACCGAGACTCACTGTATTTTTTTTCAAAAAAAATTATTATTCTCAGAGCCCGATTTTTCTGGAAAACCCCCCATTTAATATGCATGATTTTTAAACCATGTGTAGTTAATCCAATTTTGATATCCTGTATATAATCGCACAAATATATCAACTGACCTCTTACACGTTCTAATAATGGCTAAATTAGCTCAATTGCACATGAGAACACAAAAAGTAGCATGGTTAAAATCCAATCATTGGCTATTGAGATTTACCAATTAAGAATAATTAAATCACGTAATTTGCCAAACTACTTAAAAAAATGATTTGGAATTCCGCTAAATAACCTTATTGACTATTAACAAGCTTGCCAAGCATGTTTAACGCTATTTATCCATGAATATTCTATGACTTTTCTTAGTTGGCGGGAATTAAAGATGTAGATCATTAACAAATTTAGGTGTTATTACAAATAAACTCAAAACTAAATTCGGTTCTGGTAAAACGACCATCGGTTCTAGAAACAAGAATATCTTTGGAATAATAGGTCCTTTTTTCGATTTTAAAATACTTTACACATATAAATTGTAGATCTTTTTTTGAAATATCAATATATAGTAATTGTGACTTGCAAATCTATCCATAAAAGGATTTTTAACCATGCTGTAAAATCCTGATCATTTGCTATTTTAAACATTCAAAAAAATGGTATTAAAGTTGAAAAAGAGAAATTTCTTATATATAGGAGTATCAAGAAAAAAGACAACCTCGAATTGATGAATTTATAAGTCATTCACTGTGTACTAACATTGACCAATGAAATTAATTGGTCCACGATTTATCTTATTGTCTATGTCGATTTGTAAAATAAAGGCTCTTCATGTATTTTGAAAATGATTTGACTATTTTTTACAATTAAACCTCTGACTGATTTTGAAGATAATTATCACGGTTAATATATATTTTGTTTAAAACCTTACAAAACAATTCATTGATACATATTAATGACAAAGAAAGAAAAAAAGGAAAAAAGGAAAAAAGCGTGACGGTCACCGACCGACACCAATAACATTAATAATATTAATATGGAATCTATAACTTATTTATAATGGATTATCATATCTTTTTTAGCTATATATTTTTGATTTGTTATTTAACGAAAAATAATCAGTCAACACTTCAAAATTGTTAAACATAAAAATGTTCATAATTTATTATTATCGTCATTATAAAAATCTACTTTAGTTGCAATTGGTATTTCATGAAGTTCGACTTTTGTTAAGGTGTCGCTGTTTATACCGTCGCCATCACCATCGTCATCACCATCACCACCATCACCATCACCACCACCACCATTGTTATTGTTATTGTCTTCACTAAGGTTATTTTCGTTACCACTACCATCCACCGTACCTTTTAATGAAAAAGAGTTGAACTCTTCTTTAAATGCCTCTTGGAAGTGATACATGCTGGCATTCGCGATACCGCCTGAATTTATTGTTACGCCTAAATATTGTATATATTAATGTTAAATACATGAATATATTAAGCAAGCATATTTAGATTTGATTATTCACCTATTAAAATGTAAAGCCAAGACGGTGTGGTCGGCGAGAACAAGATATAAACAAATCTTGATAAAGAAGGAGCCCATCTAGAAAACGATATATTATATGTAAATGAAAATACAGTTTCTTTTTTAATTTTTAATTCACTTGTTTTAATCACTTACTGAAAAATTAAAATTAAAATATATCCAGCTATTTTTTTGTATACACGTGTACGTATGTTTCCTTGCTTTTTACCGTTTAATGTTTGTCGATCAATTTTTTTGACTTTATAAAGTATACTTCCATAACAAAACGTTATTATGACCACAGTTGACGTCAATAGTATTAACGTGCCTTGCAAATCTCTAGACCCACACCTAATTGATTAATTAGCGTTGTTATTTCGTGAATTACGGTGGCGAAACAACAACAATGATGATGATGATGATGATGAATTACCAGAATTCGTCAGATCCAGACCTTTCGATACTTGGTGACGTAGAAATCAGACTTATTATTATGACAGGTGATAATAATTTCCAATCGTATTTCCCTAAACCTGGGTGCTTATTTAAACATACCCTTTGAAAGTTTATAAGAATAAAAATGATGTTATGTAACGAAAATGTATTTGAAAGATTACAATTCAATGCATAAAACTCGATTTACCTTATAAATGTGTTTACTGAAATACAGGCTCCCAACAACACGTTTGCCAATACAATTAATATTACAAAAACTCCAGTAATTCTACATTGAAGTTCCGGTAAAAGTTTGCCATGCGTTGCCAAATAATACTTTTTTTAAAAAAATTTAAAAAAATAAAAAAATGTTATTATGGTATTTGGTTTGGTTGGCTGATTAAGAATTAGACAGTATATGTAATCTTATTACAAATTCTGGGAGTTCGCTTAATGTTATTAAGGAGTCACTACATGCGATATAAAATGGAACTTTTAAAACCATTGGGAGTGATCCGATTCTTCTCCAGTATATGAAAGTCCAATAAAATATGTAAAAACAACCTGATGGTAAATAAATTTCATACAATGAATTAAAAATAAAACGAAACCATTTCAAAATTAATTGATTCGATTTAAAAAATTTACCTATTAAGTTTAAATGCAAAGTAATCAAAGTGAATGTTAAGAAAACGTAATATCCCACACGATCGTTATTTGGATATCTGTAATCTTCGGTTTTTTGGCTTTCATCTTGTGAAAAAACAAAATTTATATTATAAAGGAACGACAAAGAAATAATAAAAAATCTTCTCATTTTTATCTAACTCATTAAAAAAAAGACCGACGAAAAAACATCCTTTTTATATTTGCAAAAATTGAACTTAATTTTGGTAACCAATGAAAATGGTGTGAAACTATTTATTTTCTTTCTATTATTTATAAAAAAAAAAGAGAGGATGAGCATTGACCTCAAACGTTGTGCATCCATCGTAGATCATCGGTATTTAAAGCCAGTATATTAATATAGGACATTTTCTTCGTGGTTTATTGGTTCGTATCATGTAAATAAATATTTTATTACATGTATCTCATTCAAAAATTTATTTATTATTATTGGTTTGAATTTTTTTAAATCTGGGTTGTTTCTATTGTTAGACAGCATCATAGCTTTACTTAATAAAGCTTAGTTACACAATTATTTTTCGGCGATTTTTTCATATATATACAAAAAAAAAATTGGTACTGTGTGACACAACATTTTTTATTATCTAATTTTTGTGAAATAACGATCGACTGGTAGCATTAATGAATGCATTTAAGTTTATGCTTGCTAACATTGTTTGTTCTAGTACATAATGATTAATAATCATTATGTTAACGATGTACAAATATATACTAATACAAAATTTCATCTTGATAAGAAATTTATTTATTATTATCCAAACCTTAATCTCTAGAAATTTTTTACTAAAAATTAACAAGAGCTAAACGAATTTCAGCTGAAATTATCAAAATTATGACAATTTAAAAATTTCGCATAATATTCTTTATCTCTTGAAAAATATAAAATAATAAGTATTATCTTTTTACGTGTATTGAAACTTTTTAATCTAAACGCTTTTTTTTTCTTTTTTTTTAATAATAAAACAAAAATGGTCCTGTTTATTTCAAGATATTTCTGTTTGCATTATTCCTTTGGTTTGCTACAATAAATTATAATTTAATGGCAAAAAAAAATTATTGTTATTAGCAATTAACTTATTTCAGTATTATATCGATTTCAATCTATTCAAAAATAAAAGAACATTCGGTGATATTATAAACAATATCGATCATTAAGGTGCAAGATAAAAATTATAAATCTATTCTATAATAAAAAATAGCATAATAGAAATGGTACAATTATTATATGTATCTTACAGATAGATAATCATGTATTAGTATTGGCTAATCGCAAGCTTATTAAATTTATAAACGTAAACTCCTACATAGTGACCGGTTTGCTCAGTAACTTTTAATACTACTATTTTGCTATTAAATTGCAATTTTTTAAAAGTATCCCCCTATCAATGATAATATTAAAAATGGTCGTAACGAATTTATTAATCTGCAATGAACTGTAAGTAAAGAATCCACAATTATTGCTTTCTGGATCAGAATAAACAGATTTTAACATTAATAAGCATTGTCCACGCCGATCACTTTTGCCAAGAAAAAAAAATTGAATTTCAATGCTTCGATACAATACGTCATTATACATAATAATAATATATTACTATGTCTCGCAATTCTAAGAAAAAACTAGGCATATTTACTATGAACTCAAAATAGTATATGCAATATCAAAAACCGGGATAAATATGATCACATTATTCATGAAGGTCATATGACTATTATAAATAAGAAGACACAAGATGTAAAGGAGGTATTTGATTATGAAGAGGTATGTAGATATCTCAAAGCGAATAATCTCGATTCAAATTTCTCAGCATGTAGAGAAAAATTATCGGAAAAAACTATATATATATTTAGAAATTCGACATCAGATGATATAGTTGAACTATCTTCTAAATTTCTACTTGATCTACATGGACGTGTACTACGTAATAAGGACATATTAATATTAACTATTAAGATATTCCGTAAAATTAGCAGAGTATTTATGAATTCCTCTAGAATAGAAGGATCGTTTGAATATCTGATCGGTATTTCAGATTCCCGCAAATTATAATAACGATGCACCTCAACCGAATCTCTGATAAGAAGAACATTCAAACGTAATTTACAACCCGACACTTGTACTCCAACAATGCCAAAATGGCTATTTTCTACCCTACGGCCTTTAAGTGCCTAATACATTCCATCGTTCGTTTCGCGCCATAATTTCATACTATCATCTTCCTCTTTTTGTATGGTACAGATAATTCGCGAACATTCCGCATACATAAGTTCATATAATTTATTGCTTTCCTTAGAGATAAACATAATATCTGGCCGTCGCCCCATTCGTTTATCTATTTTTTTTCTATCCAGACTCTGGCGTTCAAAGCTGAAAAAAAAAAAGAATAAGTATCTTTCCAAATTTCAGAAATCAATTTATTTGATATCGTTATATGATATTACAAGAACTTACGTGGTAATAAATGCACATTCTCCAAAGGGGTTATCAAATAATGAAGCATGAATTGCGGATACGACTACATTATTTACATAAGTACCTTCATTCAACGATTCAACGAATTCGGAACGAAAAGCTGGATTATTCCAAACATTTCTCATTGTATCCAGAATCTTTAATGCAACTTTCTTAAGCTTATCGTTACTTTCTTTCCAGTTTCCATCATGCGATAATCCTTGGTGCAACCTTAACATTCTTCGTGTCATAAAATTCGATACAAATTTATTGCATTCTTCTCGTATAGCTGAAGGTATTGTTAATGGCACCATATCTTCCACCGGTTTCTTAAAACGAATCAGAATTTATCATTTAAGATAACACAATCCGATCTACACAAAATTCAAATTTATTCATGCCATGAATTTTTTTTTATGTTTCTTTGATAATCGTTGGGCTAATTGCGAATCATCACCGATAACTCGGCTGGCTAAAGGAAACCTCCAAGTTAGTTCAGAAATTGATAACCCATTCAAAGCGGTAACTAATTCTCGGTGAAGTTTAGATGTACCGTTCTTGGACAAGTAATATAATGTGAAAAAACCTCTCGATGGTGTTATAAACCGATAAATATATAGTATTAGTTACCATAAGTTTTCCCCTCAACTTGTCTAGATTTTGTTTGATCTTCTCAGAGGTAAGAGGCTTCTCTTTATTCTACGAGTAAAATATTACGTTACAAACTGTTCTGTTGCAAACCGTTCTGTAATGAAATCAATCAATTAGAAAATGAGTCAAATGGATTGACAACAACATTAAAGCAAACCAAATATAAATAAATGTGTCCAACTTATTATTATTAATGAGGTCAAAAAAAGTAAATGACAATGCAACAATCAGCAAAGGAAGGTATTAAAGGAAGGAAATGAGGACATAAACCAATTATAACCAATAAGGATTAGCAATATCAGAAGTTAAAGGATAAAAAAATAAAAAGATTTAGAGAATGATTATAATAATGAACAAGAAAACAAAGAGGAGAGCAAGCAAATAAATAATCAGCAACTAGAGAATGATATTGCTCAATTAAAACAGCAGCTAAATTATTTAAATGTTGATAATAAAGAAAACAACCCTGAACAGCAAAAACTTATTCAGGAACTTAGAATAAGTTAAAGAATTAAAGAGTCAAAACCCTAAATTAATGAAAATTATTCGGGAATTAATTAAACAAAAAAAACAAAATGGTAATCCAAACTCGAAAATTAGAAAGCAAAATTCAACAAATTAAGCTAGATAAAACCTGAAAGTAAAGGTGAAATAGATGAAAGAAAAGTAAGCTCCAATTATTCTGTATGGAAGTCATTGAATAGGAAAAGAAAAATGAAAGCACATTGTGACATAATGTTCACTTTGTCTAGTTTTGTCACAGCATGGCCCACTTATTAAATTTGTTAAGACCACCATCAAATCTAATCTAAAGTGACCAGGGTTTTCAGCCACTCTTGTATCTTTGAAAGATATTCAAATTTTTGCTTCCGATACCCAAGGTCTGTTACATTTCGGCGGCTTTAACGCCAGAGATTATCGTTCCTGTGTTACAAGCATAATAGTATTTTTTGTGGCACAATTGAATTTTTTTAAAAAAAAAATGTCAAGTCATCCATATGTAAAAGCATTGTTTGCAGGCACCTCAATAATCGGATTTGGATATTTATTAATGAAATTTTCAACACCAACCAGAGAGCAAATATATGAAGTTATTATTTTTAATATATAATTGATGTATTTTTTAAATTATTATATAAATTTTTTGGATTTTATTTTATTAGAAATTACCACCTGAAGTTAAACATTCAATCGAAGGTCCTGAAAATCAAGAAAGAATGAAGCAAATCATGACAGTAATGAGAAAAGCCGCAGAAACTGATAAAACAAGTAAAAAAAAGCCATTTCATACATGGGAACTGTGCCAATAAAATATGGTTCTGGCAAAAACTAAAAATTGTTGGCACAATCCCATTTATTTATAATTTAAGATTTATTATTATTATTTAATGTTACTAATGTCATAACAAATTAATTCACTATTAGTATTTGATCCTAAACAATTGATCGAAGAGATTAAAAAAGAAAAAGAAAAAGAAAATAAATAGATTATATAAAATACAATTTATAATAATAATAATGATAACAATAAAATTATTGGCTATAACCATTTAACATTTGCAATAATAAGGTTACATTTTGATCATACCAATTTCTTGGTGATATTAACATATAAAAATTGTTTCTAATTTTATTTTTAAATATTTTTTATATATCCAGACTAAAGGTCAAAAAAATTATGCAAAGATAAGTGAGGAAACATAAAATCTGAGTTGAGGCATTCCTAGTAAATCTTGCAAATTTATGGTCTGATTGAGATTTTACTATATCATCTTTTATTGGATGTGTGATTTCTATATCACTGCAATACCTTTAATGGCCAATATAATTAAGATTCAGATTATTATTAAGATTTGAGATTGTAAAAACAGCCAAATGTATTCTGTTAAATTTATTGTAATCAAGAAATCAAGAAATCTATAACCTGATGATTTCAGTCAAGTGACAAGACAAGAATTTTCACTTGAATCAATTAATCAAATAATAACTATAACTTCTTGTCTGAGTATGATGATACATACCCATGTATTTTTATTGCCATCATTATATGCAATCATAAACATATGTAAACCTATACAATGATCCTGGTTCTTTATGTAATTTTGAATCACAAGATGTAATGCCATCAGAACTTTTCAAAATTAGCAACAGAAACAGTGTATTCAGGTGGAGATGGCAAATGCCCTTCATCTCCTTCTGGTGATAATGATGATTTACTTGAGTCATAATAATAATTCTTCTTTTGTTTTTGTTGTTAAGTAAATGTGAATTCTCTATTATTATTTTCTCTAACAACAACTTTACCAGGTGATTGAATGTTTCTTTCAAATGAATTACAGAGTTGTTGTTAATGGGATATAAGGGTTGATTATTATTATTTGATAATTAGAACCAGAATCTTGGAATATTTTGGCATTTCTGGCACGTTATAATAATAAATATATAGCAAAGAAATTTTTTTAAAGGTGTTAATAAGAATATTATCTGTAAAAATTATTTATTAAAAAATTATATGTTTACTATGTAGTGAATTTAAGTCTTTGTGTATTGTACTAGTACTATGTTAAAATAAATGGAACAATTTCTCCTTGTTGAATTCCATTGACTAAACGTTCAATTTAAAACCTTTCCAGATCATAAACTCCGTTCAAATTTAACCAATTCTTCAATTTTTTTAATATCAGAACAAAAAATTTTTGTCGGTTTTTAAATCATGTGATTTGAGATTATCAACAAATTTTTTATAAATATTGGGTTGGGAGCTTTTTTGATTATAACAAAATAAAAATGTCTTCAAGTTTTAACACACTCGAGAGAGAAAAATTGTTTTTAAATCCAAATTCAAAGAAATTCGGTGTACCTAGATTACAAGAAATAGTAAAGCCTCATGTTGATTCGTTTAATTGTTTATTAGAACCTCCCACAAAAAGCTTGTTGAATTTTGCTATTGATGATATTGGAGTTCGGGAAATTTTTGATGTTCCCTTTGATAGTCTTGTAGCAGGAAATAAATTATCAAGTAATAATATTTTATTTGAAGTTACTTTTAATTAATTTTACATGTACATTTTAATTGAGTATATGACATTATTTATTTGGAAAACAAAAGTATGGATTGATGAAGTAAATATTGCAAGGCCATTATTGTCAGAAAATGTTAGTGTTAGACTTACTAGTACAAGATTAATATATCCTACAGAGGTACTATCATTTATTTATAATATGTCAGCTATTTTATAATATATACATATATATATATATGTATATATATAAATTGATATATATAATTTTGATTAATTTAGTGCCGTGAAAGATTGACAACTTATGCAGGAAGGATGGCTATTAAATTGTGTTGGAAAGTAAATGATGGGCCTGTTAATATCGAATCTAAGCATATGGGAATGGTTCCTATAATGGTCAAAGTAATTTGATAAATTCTATTAAACATTTGATATATTATCATTAAATTATAATGTTCTTATTCTTGCTATTTCTTAATTAAGTCTAATCGATGTAATTTACAAAATCTTTATTCAAAACAATTGATCCAACATCATGAAGAATCGGAAGAAATGGGCGGATATTTCATAGTAAATGGAATAGAGAAAATCATTCGTCTTTTAATGGTTCAAAGACGTAATTATGTAATGGCACTCGTTCGTCCCTCATTTGCAAATAGGGGTAAAAATTATTCAGAATATGGAGTAACAATTAGATGTGGTAAACCTGATCAAACAACATTTACAAATACATTACATTATTTAAAAGATGGTGGTTGTAATTTAAGATTTTCTTGGAGGAAAAACGAATATGTCATTCCAGTTATTTGGGTACTAAAGGTATTAACATAATATCATTTTCTATAAAAATCTTAAAACAACAAATATATTTACTACTCATTATCATCATTTACTAAAAAAAAAAAAGGCACTTTGTGATGTTACCGATAAAGAAATATTTGAAATGTTGATGCAAGGAGATTTTGATAATACATTTTTAGCAGATCGTATTGAATTAATGCTTGTGAATTTCCGGGGATATAATATCCTGAAACAAGATCAATGTGTTTCCTTGCTAGGTGAAAAATTCCGGATAGTATTTTCATTTCCAAATTTTTCTTCCAATAAAAAGGTTGGAGAATACATGTTAAAAAAAGTGATATTAGTTCATCTTAAAAATAATAGAGATAAATTTAATTTATTATGGTATATATATATATATATATATATACACATGTATGATTTTATTTTTCAATTAACAATTTACTTACTATTTTGATATATTTTTTTGAACCTTTTTAAAAAAAAAGTTTTATGATTCATAAACTTTATTCTCTTGCTGCAGGAAAATGTTGCCCAGACAATCCTGACTCGCCACAAAATCAAGAAATTCTTTTAAGTGGATATTTATATGCAATGATTATCAAAGAAAAGTTATCAGATTTTCTTTTTGAAATTCGTAGTACAGTAAACACGCAACTTAGATCAGGAAAAGAAGTAAAATTTAATGATAGTAAGTAAACTATTTGATTTATTATTCTATTTTGATTTCTCAGGTTAATTTATATTAAAAAATTTTTATATAGAAAAATATATAAATAATCTATTCGCAAAAACTCCTTGCGATATTGGAAGGAAATTATCGTATTTCTTAGCAACAGGGAATCTTATATCACGTACAGGATTAGATTTAATGCAGGTATTTATTGAAAAGTTTTTTCTTTCTTAATTATTATTAAATCCCTCCATGTTAATTAATTTATACATTATTATTACTTGTCGATTTTTCAGACTTCCGGTTATACAATAGTTGCTGAAAAACTTAATTTCTACAGGTTCATTTCACATTTTCAATGTGTTCATCGTGGTTCTTTCTTTACTGAATTAAAAACCACAACAGTAAGAAAACTCTTGCCTGAATCTTGGGGTATCTATCTATTTTATTTATTTATTTTAATTTTTTTAAATTATAAAAATCAATTTACAAGACTAAACATTAAAAAATTTTTTTTTGAAGGATTCATTTGTCCAGTCCACACACCAGATGGTACTCCTTGCGGATTACTTAATCATTTTTCACATGCTTGTAGAATAGTTACCGAAAGACTTAATACAAATGATTTACCAGAAATATTATACATGTTAGGTGTACAAGAAGCTATTTCTTCAGATTATTCACATAAACCTAAAAAAAATCAATTATGTGTTCAATTGGATGGGAAAATTCTTGGGTGGTGTGAAAACAAATTTTCTGGGAAGCTTATAGTCATACTACGATCAATGAAATATGATAAGAAAAAAAAAGTATTTATATATACGATAATAAATACGATATAATTGTTATTGTTTTATTACATTATAATTTAATTAATTATGTTCGTATATTATATATAAATCAACATGTAAAGGTACCTCTTGATCTTGAAATTGGTTATGTTCCTACTTCGAATGGAGGTCAATACCCAGGCATTTATCTATTTTCATCACAAGCACGTATGATGAGGCCAGTTAGATATTTGGCTAATAATAACATTGATATGGTTGGTTCATTTGAACAGGTAAATTTTTTAAAGAATTTTTAATTAATATATATATATTGTATTTATCTAACAATATATATACAATAAATATAGGTATATATGAATATTGCTTGTATGAATGAAGATATAGTTGAAGGAGTCACAACTCATCAAGAGATTTCTCCGACAAACATTCTAAGTATTCTTGCTAATTTAACACCATTTTCTGATTATAATCAAAGTCCACGTAATATGTATCAATGTCAGGTATTTATATATATGACTTGATTTCTCTTATTTTTTATATTTTTTTTTTTTGGAAATGAGGAAGAAAACATATCGTTAATTAATTGATTAATATAAATATATAGATGGCTAAACAAACGATGGGTACGCCATCAACTGCCATTATGCATAGAACAGATAATAAAATGTATCGATTACAAACAGGTCAAACACCTATTGTTAGGTCTAATGTAATTCACAATAAATATGGTTTAGACGGGTTTCCCAATGGTATAAATGCCATTGTTGCAGTAATTTCATATACAGGTTAGTTAGGATTTAAAATTATTTAGAGAAAACCTCTTTTCTTAGCATTAAAATAATCAATAAATACATATTTTTTTCTCCATTGCAAATTTTCAAAAAAAAATTTAAGGTTATGATATGGAAGATGCTATGATCATCAACAAGTCTTCACATGAAAGAGGTTTTACATATGGAACCATATATAAATCAGAAGTGATTGATCTTGCTGATTATCGAGTAGGTAAAGAAAGAAACGTTCATTTTGGCCTTGGGCCAGATGCTCCTGCATCTTTACGTAAGAAGATTGATGATGACGGATTTCCATATATTGGGATAAAGTTGAAAAATGGTGATCCTTTATGTACCTATATTGACTCAAAAGGTGTTACTAAAATAAAAAAATACAAAGGATTAGAGGATTGTTATGTGGATAAAGTACGGGTTTTAGGTGATGATTTGGGACTTTATGAGGCTCAAAAAGTCCACATTATGTTAAGAATTCCAAGACCAGCTATCATTGGTGATAAATTTTCTTCAAGGCATGGACAAAAAGGTGTTTTGTCACAAAAATGGCCCCAAGTTGATATGCCATTTACAGAAAGTGGTATGCAGCCAGACATTATCATCAACCCTCATGCTTTCCCCTCGCGTATGACTATTGGGATGTTTGTGGAGAGTTTAGCTGGGAAATGTGGCGCTATGTTTGGTGTGCCGCAAGATTGTACGCCATTCCGATTTGGTGAAGACCACACTGCAATTGATTATTTTGGCGAAGAATTGAGAAGAGCTGGATTTAATTATCATGGTAATGAACCTATGTATAGTGGAATCACTGGCGAGGAATTTCAGGCAGATATTTATATTGGTGTTGTTTATTACCAACGTTTACGTCATATGGTTTCGGACAAATGGCAAGTTAGATCCACAGGACCAGTTCATAACCTTACTATGCAACCTATAGGAGGACGTAAAAAAAGTGGTGGTATAAGATTCGGTGAAATGGAGCGTGATTCACTTTTGGCACATGGAATGAGTTTTTCTTTACAAGATAGATTATTAAATTGTTCAGATTATTCACAGGTTTTGTATATACTTTGCAGGTGGGGGTTTTAAAAAATAATATTATATATTCCTAATTACTAATCATCAAAAATTTTTTTATAATAATAATTTAGTGTCATGTATGTCGAAATTGTGGTTCACTTTTTACTTCAGTCTCTTTTAATACACAATACTTGGCAAAAAGTCAGAGAAATTTCGAGAAACATTCTATGAAATGTAATATATGCGATAACTCCAAGTGGATTGCTTTAATAAAAATACCTTATGCATTTAAATATTTAGCTACAGAGCTTATTAGTATGGGCGTAAAGATTAAAGTAGACGTCAAATCATGATTGGTGATGGCGATTTAGGTATTTCCCTTCTTATGTCAAAAAAAAAAAGATCTTGTATTTTTTTGTACTATATAATTAAATTAAAAAAAACAGACTTATTTTTAAAAAATAATATATATATATATATATATATATATTAAATTGATTGATTAATTTAAACAATGTTTTGTTTTTTTACAAATAAATGAATTTTAATTTAATCATTATTTTGTTTTTTTCGAATAATTAAAATTTTTAAGAAGCAATAGTCACTTCAACTTCAACACCAGGTTCGATAGAAATCGAAGTCTAAAGAAGAATGAGGGAAAGGGGAAGAGGCAAAGGAAAAAAAGGAGAGGAATAAGAGACAAAAATAAAAAAATTTAATTATTACATAAAAATTCATACTAAAAATAAATAACTTACAATCTGTTTAACGATTTCACTTGGGCTATGTAAATCAATCAATCTTTTATGGATTCTCATTTCATATCTATCCCAAGTTTTACTACCCTCACCACAAGGAGTTTTACGTGTAGTAATACGTAAAACCTTAGTTGGCAAACGTACAGGTCCTTTCACACGTAATTGTTTATCTTTTGCTCTGTTTATCAAATCTGTGCATACTTTTTCTAAAGCTTTGACTTTCCGTGAAGTTAAAGTTATACGAATACGATGAACCTGTCAACAAAAAAGTTTTAATTAATTTGCGGTAATAATAATCGATTTGATGAAAGTGTTGATATAAAATTTAATTTTTTTTTAATCTAATTTATCAAATTTTGCCATTATCTACTACCTTTGGAGCTTCGTCGATGTAATCTTCTTTGCCTTTTGATGTATTATAACTCATAGTTATTTAAAAGATATTTTTATTAATAAAATTTTTAAAAAAAATTTTTTTTTTTTAACAATCGAAAAAAAAATAAAAAGGAAAAGATCATCGATTAAAAAAAATTTTTTTTGATTTATTTTATTATGAAAATTACAAAGCTTCGAGCAAAACCAAAAAAACTTGAACAATTAGGTCCATGTACACCTGAAGTAGCAGCATTATTGACTTGTTGGGCCAATAATACAATGGATTCTTCTGCTTGTATACAAAATGTGCAAGCACTTTCTAATTGCATGCGTAATGTGGTGAGTAAACGATCATTTATATTTTATTAAAATCTATTATTGAAAATTAATCTATTTATCAAATTTTATATATAAATACACATGTGTATATTTAGCCAAGAAAAACGAAACCTCCCAATACTATCAATTATCATCTTTCAAGACTTGGTAAATTATTATGAATCGATTAATCTTTTTAGAATATTAATAAATGAATGATTAATGATGATGATGATTGGCCGATAAAAATTTTGTATCAAAAAAAATAATAACTAAAAAAATAATATAAATAAAATGTTTTTTAAAAATATTATTAAATCAATTTATCCAAAAAATTTAATTCACCCAAGAAATTTAATTTATCCAAAAAGAATATTTACGAACAATCCATCATTATTGATTTTTATTAATATTAACAACTATATTACTAATAATCACAGTCACAATCATAGTCTGTATTATAATTATAATACAGTAGCAATCGATGAGAATAGAGAGGAGAAGGAAAAACAAGTTAAAGTGAGTAATTATGAGAACGAGAACGAGGAAAAGAAAAAAAGTTGTGTTGATGAAGATGAAAGAGAAAAGAAGAATTCTAGAAAGAGAAGAGAAGAAAAAAGAAATCAATTACTTAAAGAACAGAGAAAACAATATTATATTGATAATTATGTTGATGTGAATTTTGATCTTTTAAAAGGAAGTTAACATAAAAAATTTATTCTGTTAACTTTAATAAATAATAAATGTATATTAATTTATTAATTTTATTAATTTTCATAGATTTTCCCAAATGGTTATATGGAATTAGAATGCATAGATATGTAAAAAATTTTGAAAATATGAAATGGGAAGAGATTGTTGAATTGGATTCTGAGGGATTAGAACAATTAGGAATTGAAGAACATTTTGATAGGAAAAAATTGTTAAAAGAATTTAGAAATATTAGAAATACCATATATGTGTTGGTAAGTGTTTGTCCCTTTAATATTCACATTATATTTAATATTATTGTTGTACTAGTAACAACATGCTATTATATTATTAACAATATTTTTGGTTATATATAGTCATTATATGATAATAGAAATGGCGAGGAACCTTTATAATCCATAAAATGGAATTTTTAATTAATCAATTTATTGTCTATAATTTCTAATATTACAATTAATTACAAAAAATAAAATTAATTTATAAATATAGCAAATTAAATAAAAACACACTACATTCCAAAAAAAAAGGATTATCTATGTAACTAATAATCCCTTCTTATCATCACCACTATTACCACCACCACTAATATTATTCTACAAATTCGACATGAATTGTAGGTGGTGATATCTTTTCTTTAGATTTTCTCTCTGGTGATTCATTTGCTACTTCTGTTGTAATTATTGAATGTTTTTCCAATTTTTCTTTTTTTCTAATTTGTCTCGCCAAATCCAAATTATCTGGATACCACCATTGTTTAACGAATGTTATAATATATCTTGGTAACAATGACAACCAAATTACGAATAATAATCCAAACCAAAATATCGGCTCACTGAACAACTGTGCACCAATTCCATATATTGGACTATCCACAAACATCCCGTAAATTGTAACGAACGCAAATACTGAAAAAATTTCTACGACTAAAGATGCCCAAGTAAAAAATGTCCAATGGTAAGTATTATAGCTAACAAACAGATTTGCTATCACTATCACTGAAACTGCTACTGCTGTAGAAAATTCAATTGGACCAGCTGCCGCTCCTTCGATTGTCACCACATTTTCGGACAATATATATATAAAGTGATGGATGAAATATACAACTAACGATTGCCAAATTCCATCAAGAAAATAGATTGTAAACAGGAATTTCGAGTATCTTTTTTGTTTAATGCCCAATATATAAATACTTGGATATCGTAAACAATACGATTTACTGACCGATTGGTCCATTGCACCTAATACAATTACAGGTGCGACTGTAAATATCATGTTGTAAAGTTGTACAAAACTATAATCGTAAAATATATTTCCTGAAAATCTAATATTAATGATTTAATTAATTAGTGCTGATTAATAAACTATTAATATCATTCAATTACGAAAAAACACTCACAGGCAAAAGATTTGATACCATAATACAGGAAATACCCATATTACATTCTTATAAAAGAAATTCAATATCATTTCAGAAATTCTCAAATAATCCCAATGGCCATGTACTAATAATAAATTTCCAAGAAAACGAAATTGTGGCATAGAATAATCAGCTGCCATTGATGCTTGAACTCCTATAAAATATTTATATGTGAGATATTTAGCAAACTAAATTTTCCATCCGGATATTATAATAATAATAAGTATTATTTTACCTTCTTGTCCAGATATTCCAATACCAACATTTGCTGCCTGAATCATACTTACATCATTAGCACCATCCCCGATGGCCAAAGTTGTAGTCCTTTTACCTGTTCTTATTAGCTCTACAACAAAAGCTTTTTGTAAAGGACTTACACGACAACATATCACTGAATGAAAAGCCTCTGATAATGATATCAATTTGTTTCTAGCACTATCGTCATTTAATAAATGTGCCAAAGATGCACCATCAATTATTAAAGCATGTTGTACATTTTGCATATTATCATGATTATCATCATTAAGATCATCTTCATAATCATTATTATTATTGACTTCTTGCATCTGTTGATTTTGTTGTTGTCCATTAGGTGTCGCAATATTGTTTCCAAGTAAGGAAGCCACTACATCATCTAATTGCTTCATTACGCTATCTTTTTTAGATCCTCTTATAATCCATAATCTCATTTCTTTTGTTAATAGTTGAGCTGCAAATCCAATATTAATTGCAGTCTCTAGCTTATCACCAGTCAACACCCAAACTTTAATTCCTGCCTCTCTTAATGACGTAATACATTCAGGCACTCCTTCTTGGAGTTTATCCTCGATTGCTGTTGCACCTAACAAAGTTAAATCCTTTTCTATTTCTTCAGAAATTTGGTCAATTTTCTGTGATCGATTTTCTAAAGATGTCGATGCCTCATTGTATTTTTGTGACCATGTTTGATAATGCGATTCATCTATTTTACGATATGCCAAGGTCAATGTACGAAGTCCTAAATAATATTAATGGTTTTATTAAAAAAAAAAATAACGATAATAACGATTTAAAGAAATTTATATTTATAATTTTAAAAGTTACCACAATTAGAAAAAACATCAATATCATTGGAAGTTTTTTCGATTAAATCATCTTGCCCAGGAGCCAATAGTTCAAAAATGACGTTATCAGCACCTTTACAAAACAAAAGGATCTCGCTACCTAATTCTTCTGGACTTTTAACAATAACACTCATTCTTTTACGAGTAGAATTGAATTGTAATATGTTGAGGATTTGGTAGGTATATTCTTTACCGAAAATATCGATTGTGATAGAATCAGTAGACCTACCCAAGAATACAAATCCAAGATTTTTAGCTGCCGAGACAAGAGCTGCCTCATCAGGCGATTCAGCTTTATATATAAGATTTTTTTCTAGTGTTTTGTCAATTGGAATTGCTTTCATGGTACCAGGATTTGATGGGCCAACTAGATTTGTAACTGAATCAAGAGCTTTCAATGATGGTAGTATACTATTAATATTAATAAATGATTCTCTGACTTTTCTCTTTGCTTGATAAATATATGAACCATTTTCATCATCATTATTATTCACATTATTATCATTATTATCATTGACATTTATGTTTTCTTCACTACTAAAATTTGATTCTTGATCTAATTTAGTATCATTATTATCGTTATTAGTATCGTTATCATCATTGTTATTATCATTGTCATTATCATTGCCATCATTATTATTATCAGAATCAACAACTACAGTATGGCAAATTGCCAATAAGGTGAAAAATTTTGTAATCAAGCCTGCTCTATCTATCAAATCTTGATGATGACTGCCATCACCACTGCTACTGCCGCCAACGTTATCGTCATCGATTTCATATTCAATTTTACTATCGTTATAATTATCTTCTTTTTGAGCTCTAAGATCTCTAAATAATTCAGGATCAGCAAATGACAAGAAATTGGAATCGGTACTTGAATATTTTGGTTTAAATGTTTTTGTTAACTCTTGTAAATAATCATTAAAAATTTGATCTTTAGATGACTTGTTATTATCGTCATCACCATCAACAACATCAACCTGACTTTGTATCATTTCTTTTCCTCTTTCAGCATCTGTTTTATCACCCCAACCATTTTTACCATATATTTTAGCGCCAATAGAACATTGCCTGAATTCCATTATGTTACGTGTGAGTGTACCTGTTTTATCAGAAAATATATATTCTATTTGTCCCAGATCATCTGATAGATTCCACTATTGATTTTGTGATTAAAAATTTGGATTAAAATATGTAGAACTTTTTTAAAGAAAAATAATTAAGTAATATACTTGCAGATTTTGGAACACATGAAGCCTGAGAATCTTCATCCCACATATCAAGATCATTATAAATAAAAAATGCCTAATTCGATCCATAAATATTTATATATAAAATATTTTTTTAAATAAAATATAATTAATCAATCAATCAACCAATCAACTAATTACCTGAACTATTCTCACAAATTCTATTGAAATGTATAATGAGATTGGAATAATATTTTGAAAAATAATTAAACTTGCCCTGTTAAAATATAATTTTATTTTTAAAATTTAAATAATTATTTACTTTTTTTTTTTTAAAAAAAAAATAAGAACAACATACCAAAAAGTGACAAATGAGGCCAATTCAATTGAGTCTCTATTTGAATCTAATCTTTCAACAGCATCAGGTACTTTATCTTTCAATACATAAGTTGATATAGCACTTCCTATTGCGCAAGTTAACGCAAGCATAATAAGAATGATAAAATTTAAAATAACCTTTTGAAAAATAGGGAATAAGAATTAATTGTAAGATTAATATGAATGTGTAAATTTTAGATTTCAATAATTAATTGATTTATAATAAAATTACCTCATGATTCATTTCCTTCTCAATTCTACTACGTTTACTTGGAGTTTCGCCAGAATTAAGCATAATTTTTGTTTCAATGCCAGTAAAAATAGTAATTGCTATTACCCATTTTGTATTTCTAATAACATGAGCTCTTAACAGCAAATTATTTACATCTAAAGGTACTATTCTTTTTTCTTCATCAATAGCTTCTTCTTCTTGTATTTCACCTTGTTGCACTGATTTATTTTGAATTAATACAAGTTTCGCACTGTAAGAATACAAATTAGAATTTGGAGCTTCTGATTCAATATAAAATTTCAGTTTTGTACAATCTTTAGCACTGTTAATGATATCTTTTGTATCAGGCACACATCTACGAGGTTTTAGATTAGTTTCACCGTCAAGATCTTTAGTTTCAACATAACAAGTTCCTGACTGTTCTGATGTTGATAAAATTATTGAATCAGCAGGTACAACATCTCCATTCCTAAGAAATATGAAATCACCAACACGAACATTTCTCCATGTAGTTTTTTTAAACAATGGCTGACCATCTATAGTATTTGACGGTTCTGATGGTGGAGATTCTTCATCAACACCTTCTAGCCGATCATTATCATCATTATCTATTTGTTGTTCATTGTCATTATTATTTTGCTCGATTCGATCAATTTGTCGTGTATTATCATCATCATAATTATTGTTGATTGATCGTTTTTGACTTTTGTCGGATTTAAAGAATAATTTATACAATATTTTTTCCCAAGCAGTAATTAATTTTTCTCGAGGATAATTTACATTATAAAAATTTTGCAATACATAACAAGTATCACTATTGAATTTCTTGTCTATTTCATGTCTATTTCTATCCTCGATAGCATCTTTCATAGCAGTGAAAAAGACTACAGTTGATAAAGGGAGAACAGTCAAAATGGGGTTGTTTGTTGCAAGTTGTGGTAAAAGTCCAAGTATGGCCATGAATAAAAAATACATATTCGCAGCTTTACGAAACTGTTCAAATAAATTTTTTGGTAAAAAAGTCCAAATTGTATATTTCGAGGTTACTATTTTATTTGTCACATATTTAATTCTTGGATTCCCTTTATGATCTATGTCGGTTTTTGGCAATTCTAAATTAGCATGCACTTTACGTTCTTTTTTACTTGCTTTTCTTTCCTTAATTTTTGATTTTTTTCTCTTGGTCTGTTTTTTGGAAACCTTTTTAGCTTCATTATTGATAGACTTATTATTAGAATTAGTAGCAGTAGTTGTGTTTATATTAGAATTATCGTTATCGTTATCATTAAATTTAAAAATCGATGGCATGATAAGAAAGTGAATATAAATGATCTTTACATTAATATTAATAATGAAATTTTTGAATTATTAACACGCATGGATATAATGAGCATAGTGGGTGAACATTTATATTGGTTGGTAGTACTCGTGTCAATCACTTTGTATTAGTATGTATGTCACAATAAGGGGACCTCGGAATAGATTCTGTCTATCCGTCTTTATTGTATATTATTTTTTAGGAAGTTTGCGTCACAAATACCCAAAATGTTACAATGATGTTATTTAACGGATTATCTAAAAATAAAAGATGCAGTGCAGATCGTCTATACCAAGGTTGACTATGATACCGATTCATTGATGGTCATTGGACCCATTGGTGTAACAATTTAACCATATTGAGTAATTTATTAATAGCGTAGCAACATGAATTTTTTCCATTATTATTATTAATTTGACGGACAATCCTTTAAAATTGCTACCCACCGACCATCCTAAACCATTAAACATTCCCATTATCATCTTTAATATTTAAAAGTTTTTAAATGTTCTTCAAGGTATTTTTTATTCCAACAATGTTGCAATCCTGTTTTTATATTCATTGTGTGTGTTTCACGTTTTATAGGGGGCGACATTTATATGTGTAGCATTTGTTGATAATAATTACCCTTTTCGGAAAGACATTTACCATATTTACATATTAATTAATTTCTTTTTTTGCCCAAATTGAAAAAAGTGATTATGGAAATCATTTTGACTATAAATGAATGAGCATGAATAAACAAATTAACGAGTTCCGATCATTTATAATAAAGGTGATCTCATATATACATGACCTTCTTAATTTGGATGTGGAACCTATGATCTGCATGATTTTTATAGAACATGAATTAACAAGGGTTCACGCACATCATAAATGGCGCTTCCAAATTAGGAAGGTCCTGTATATTCAGCCACAGGACCAGTCCTGTATATAGGATTTTCCTTGTAAAAATCTCCCATTAAAAAAAGCAGTCTGTAATTTTTCGAGAAAACGGACTGATTTTGGTTTCAAATCAGATGATCTGTTTGTTACAGAATTTTATTGTATCATAATTCACTTTTAAAACAGATATTATTACCTTTAGATGCTTACCCAAAATTTTATCATCTAACTAATATACTAATATGACGATTGTCCGGGTTCTTCTGTTCAACCTCACTAAGCACTTTGTCTTCTTTAGAGAACTATATCATATCAGACAACATTTCTTCGTCTTGTAAAAAAATAAATTGTTTTTCCAAAAAAAAAAATCAATCGCGTCAACAAAATAAAAAAACCAATAGGGGATTTCTTGTACAACCAATATAAAAATCAATTCATTTTCATTTAAATCAAATCTTAATCTTGAACAAATAAATAGATAATCAACCTGTCAGAGCCAGGGTTGGCGAATTGACTGGTCCACTGAGAATTGTGTACTTTGGACCGATCCATTGCCATTAATAAATACTAAATATGGTTAATGGTTACATTAATGGGCTCAATAGATCACCAATGGACCGCCAACCTTGGTCAGAGCTCCTAAATTATATCGAAAGTACAGATACTTCGAATTTCACGAAACCAATTGTCTCATTTGATCTATTTTTAATTTTGAAGAATCTTTATGAAATGGTATATCACATATTATTAATGAATAAATCCATAATGAAACAAATAATGATAATAATACCGATAATAACAATCACTTTGAGATTATTGACAATAATGACATTGATATCAACAATATTGAGATGACTGATAATAATAGCAATCAATCAATTCATAATAATCGAATTGAAATAAATAACAATTCACAATTTCATTGAAGAAAAAGGTGGTCGGTCACACCATGAAATAAATATCCTAGTAGCATTTATTTTAGACAAAAAAATTGAAATGAGAAAACTCAATCACAGTCAACCCCCTCTAAGTGCAACCCTCCTTGAGAACATATCACTATTTCTCATGAATGTGCATTTAGAGAGGGTTTACATAGTGAGTGCATTTAGAAAGTGTGCACTTAGAGGGGGTTTACTGCAGTTGAGTTTATATAGAACTAAAGATGCAATATTAAATAAGAGCAGAATAATCAAACGGCAAATAAGAAATTTATTTAATGTTTAGCACGTTGCAAAACCTTCAAATAATTTTTTTTTCAATAATTCAAAATAAAATAAATTGATATTCGCATTATATTCAGTTGAGTTTATATAGAACTAAAGATGCGATATTAAATAAGAGCAGAATAATCAAATGGCAAATAAGAAATTTATTTAATGTTTAGCTCATTGCAAAACTTTCAAATATATTTTTTTTTGATAATTCAAAATAAAATAAAATGGGGCATGCCACAACAAAACCAGACAAAGTGAACATTGGTATAACCAAGAATTTCAGGGATCAAAATTTAGTAATGTGATTATTATTATTAAAATCTCCCATTCGTTCATTTGTTTGTTATCTTTGTTTTTTCCTTGATATATAGAATTACCTCTATATAAAAATAGTTAATATGAAGCTAATTTACATTAGGTCTACTATGGAACCCAAGAATTATAGTACCATTAGAAGTATCCTGAAGAAAGAGCAAGGTGAAATTGCTCCTTATATTTTCAAAATAAATGACACTTAAACACTGGAAATTTATCTAAAAAAAAGAAAGGATTACTTATGAAATTTACCAAGAAGAAAGAAAAATAATAAATGTTGGAAAAAGAAAACATCATGATGATGCATTATTACCTAATAAAAAGCAAAAACCTTTAAAAGGAAAATAAATACCATTTTCTTTGACAATTGAATGAATTTCAATCTATACAGAATATTCTTTAAACTACTTTTTTATTTTCAATCAAGATCATCTTTTAGTCTCTTTGACTTCAGTTTGAGCAGTTAATTGACCATTCTGTTGATCTTTTAATTTCCTGTTTTCCTCTTCTAGATGATTAATTTTCTCTTCTAAACTTTTTATCTTATCCAATAACTCTTGTTTCTGTTTTTTACTTCACTCTTCTGATTTTTCTTAAAATTTGGCTACTTCTTCCCTTTCTATTTTCAACTCCTTTTTGGTAGCTTTTAATTCTTTTTCTAGTTCTCTAGTTTTAATTGGGACACCGGAAAAGTACAGGGTACAGGAAAATTTTGTTGATCCCTGTACCCTGTACTTTTCAAGATTTACCCACTGAATCTAGAAAGGTACAGGGAAGTGGTACAGGTGACATGCAAAAAATGTGAAAAAGTACAGGAAAATTTTTGGTACAGATATGGCGCAGATACAGAACAGGTGACCTGTACCCTGTACCTTTCAAGATTCGCCCAATAAACCTTGAAAAGTACAGGATACAGGAAATTTTGTTGATCCCTGTACCTATTCTTTTTTGGAGGTTTTTTTGAAAAATCTTGAAAAGTACAGGTAAATTGAAATAATTTATTAATACTAACAAATAATCAATTGGGACTCGAAAAATGAAAAGTATTGCAAAATAATTGTAATTGAAATAATTTATTAAAAAATAACCATTTTTTATTTGCAATCTGGTGAATATTGGCATCAGTTTCAGCATCTTCAAGCCTAAAGAAAGAAAAATATAACTCAGAAATAAATATACATATAATAAACACTGAATTAGTTTACCTTTTTTAATTGGATTATTTTTATCATCATCTTTATTGTTAAAGCTCTAAATGAGCCAAATTTATACTTAGCTTGAAATTTAATTAAAATCATGATTTTGCAGGCCATTGAAAAATAATAGAAGTAAAACAATAATGAATTATATAAAATGAATTTTAAAACTTTTAAATTGTCATCAATAATCTTATATGACAGACAAAATATCAAATGAGAACAATTCAAGATTCCATGTTTATGCTTCTAATAAAAAAATGGGCTTTTAGGTTCTGAAATAGAAATATATCCATGGAACACATAAAAAATTACATTTAAAATTCATTATATCAAAATTATTAATCACATTTCAACATGTTTATGTTTTTAAAAATTCATTGTAATGTGAATTTAATTATAATTCATTGAAACAAGGTTTGATTTGACTGTATAAAATTTCACAATTTTTGCTCAGATATTTGTGGAGAATTAAGAATCTATATCATTATTGAGAGTAATACAAATTCTTATTTGAATCATTCATAATACAACTCAATTAATTTGATTTATTTGTTTTATTAGTCATCTTATTAGTTGTCTCTTATTATTTATTCATTTATTTGAATTATTCATTTTATCCATTTATTCAAATAGAAACTCTAAATTGAGCAGGCTTGAGTTAAAATTTGAATTTTCAAGTTCAAGAAAATAGGCTCAAATTATTTTTAGGTAATATCCATAAATAAAATAAAAGTATTATGAAATGGTGGAATTCAATTGTTACTATTTATTCAGCTCAAGCTCAACTTGAAAACTTGAGCCTATTATTTCTTAGCTCATTTGGAACTTTAAGCAATTCAGTCAATGTTAGAACATGCTTCTGAAATATTTCTTACTGGAGCAAGTGGATTGTTTTTATCCATAATGGATAATTTTCACCTAAAAAATATATTATGTTGAGATTTAATTAAATTACATGTAACTAAAAAACAAATGAATATCCAAGTTATCTTTATCTGGATTACAATGAATGCAAATTTCATTGGGTTCTGTAAATGTTTAATTGATAATTTGTGAAAAGATTTTGCAAACATTATTTTCAAAAAAAAAAGATTAATTTATATTCATTAATAGATTCTTCAAATTTTTAGAATTTATTCAAATTAATAAAACTTGTTAGATTTTTTTTTGTAATTAAGTTTTTATTTTAAAAAGTAAATAATTATTTTGAAAGTAGAGAACTGTTTTTATTTACATTATTAATTAAACATCCAATACTTTTCTAATAACTTATTAACTAGAAAATTTATTATACTAAATTACCATTGGTTTTTAAACATAATTGTTTGAATCACCAATTTTTTTAACATAGTTATTTGTATCATCAGTTTTTCAACATAATTTAAATAGCCAGTTTTTCAAATCACAATGATTTGAATTGTCAGTTTTTCAGCATAATTAAATATTTAATTATTAATTCTTTTTGATCATTCATCTTAGCTGGTATTTCCTTCACAGCTTGATATATAATTATTAAATCTGTCATTTATAAAATTGCAACATTTGGATCAAATGATTGTTTTTACATAATTGTGCACACCTGTACTTTTCAAGATTTTTCAAAAAAACCTCCAAAAAAGAATAGGTACAGGGATCAACAAAATTTCCTGTATCCTGTACTTTTCAAGGTTTATTGGGCGAATCTTGAAAGGTACAGGGTACAGGTCACCTGTTCTGTATCTGCGCCATATCTGTACCAAAAATTTTCCTGTACTTTTTCACATTTTTTGCATGTCACCTGTACCACTTCCCTGTACCTTTCTAGATTCAGTGGGTAAATCTTGAAAAGTACAGGGTACAGGGATCAACAAAATTTTCCTGTACCCTGTA